TTGAGGTAATGGTACGCAGCAGTGAACATGGGTACATTTTTCTGCTTGTTCATTTAGCTTGTGTTCCTCAAGGGTTTATAACGCACCGCATGCTGGTCTGAGGACATAGTCTCTTCTTCCATAGAGCTTAAAATTTACACTGAAAATGTGAGGATGCATATTTAGAATACAGTTAGAAATTACATTGGTCTAGGGATATGGCAAAAGTAGGTTTTTCTCTAAGAGAGAAAACAAAATATAACAGGCTATTCTGAACTGACCAAAAAGAGAACTTTCATTCTACATTAGCAAATAAACATATTATAAAAATGTGAAAATTATTTCAAAACAAATTGTAAAGTTTTAATGAGTTGGCAAAGTAATGAGAGCTAAGGCATTGAAGGCCTTAGTAATTCAGAACATGAGGAGGAAAAACGGTCACTTAATGTGAAATCAATTTTGATTAAAAATACCTTACCCTTCCTCTAAGTCAACTTGGAATGTTCTCTTTTGGTCATAGATAAATTAAGAGCAAATGTTATCTTCTTCCATTCAAAGGTTGTTGAGCACAAAACTGTAAATGGAGCACAACTACTCTTCAACATGAACTGAGAAAAGGATGGAAAACCTTGGGAAACCTACACTGACCTCAAATAAGCAGGTGTAGAAACAAGCCGCAGAGCTAGAGCAACAGTCCACAAATATTTCCAAACTTAAAGCACAGGTCACCTCATTGCAAACTTAGTACTTCAGATATTTGATATGGAAAGTTCAGAGTCAGGGCAAAAGTGAACAATTTTTTACAGTATGTTAATTGCATAGGATAAAGGTTTCTATAAGTCATTATGAAATGGTTTTTATAAATCAGACCTTAGGAGGGTTCAAGATTCTAGAGCTCATTGGCTTAAAACAAACTCCTTGGTGTTCCTGTGACAAGCCAAAGGCATCTGGATTCCAGTGATTTTATAAGAAGATATTCCTGAAGGAAAACCTCAACTGTATTAGTCTTCTAATTTTCAAGATACAATCATCCCTTTTAGCTGCTATTGGTTATTCTAACACATTAGACTGGTCTAACATCTTAAAAAATCCTATGGGTATGTGAGGATAGATTTCCAAGTCTGTTTCTAAATATCAGCAGTTCTAGTAGATTTATTTATGTGTTTATAATATATACAGTATTTCCGGGGCTTTTAAATGAGAACTCCTTATTTTTCTCAAATATGACCACAGTTTTAGAATGTCAGTTCTTTATTAACTGAGTGACTTGGGAAAAAGGAAGCATGGGAAACAGAATTGAAAAGTACTTGAAGTATTCCTTTTCAGTCACAACTCTTTAATTCTTCTATGTCATATCCTAACAGATCCCTATTTAAAAGGGATCTGGGTTTAAAAGGATGTAACTCTCCTCACATGATACTGAAGTTTTGGAACATTTTACTCAAAGTAGAATTTTAAATATTGTAATTTGACATTCACAACTACATTTATTTTATAACAATCACAGGGCCAGAGTTGGTGTGAAAGAGGTGAGTGAGATCCATATGACATCTGAGTCAGATGACCTTAGAATCCAGTGTCTGTGTTGGAGTTCCCCTAGTCATCTGTCCTGACCTTTGTATTCTACCATTCTACCATCACCCTGTGCTGCCATCTATGGCAACATCCATCCATCAGAACCAGTTATCAGACACATTCTTTGATGGAATGTTTAATAGGACCAAGCAAAATGGAAAGAAAAGCTTGATAACCAGCGGAGGACATTTTATACAAATTTGCCAGGTTGCTGATTTTGGTGGACTACATCTCTGTGATGTATCAACCAAGTTGAGTAACCATTGAGAGTGGGTTGCATTTTGCTGTAAAGCCATCAAATTTCCTTCTTTTCCTTCTTCCCCTCATACTTCTTTAGCCCTTTGTAAAAGAGGCTTTTAAAGGCACAAGCAGAAAAAAGCAGCCCACACATATTTATTTTCTCAGTATTGGCATACTGGACTAATCTGCTAAAAACTGGAATTATTGTAAAAAGAATATGTACTTTTAAGAGTCCATTTTCCAAGCAAAATAAGTCCTGGGCTTAGTGGTAGGTTCAATAAGGAATATTTCAGATTCTTCAAAACTTCTCAAAATTATTTTTCATAAAAGTGAGTTTTGGAAATATCTTCAACATGTTCCCAAGTACTCATCCCTTGAGAACCATGGACATAGAAAGAAAATTTTTATTTCATTTATTTTTACTCTAAATTTCCTAGTCAAAGTAATATTACAGGTACTTATGAGTGCTTATAAAGGTTTTAAAAAGCTTTCTTTACAGTTCTTTTTGGACAAGAATAAAACCCTACAAAAATATACAGTATACAGCCAAAAAGTATATGAAAAAGTGCTCAGAACCCTTAGTGCAAGGGAAATGCATGGTGTGGAGGAGTGTGTGGAGCCAGCGCTATCACAGAACACCGACAATGAAAAACGCAGCAGCACCTGAAGAGGCGGTGAGCAACCGGAGCGCTCAGACACTGCTTCAGGGAAGGAAGATGGAAAACCAGGCAGAGACGGTTCATAGACGTCCTATACACATCCTGTAATACAGCTCTGCCAATTCTAGTTTTTTCCTAAGAGAATTTAAAACAGATACAAGCAAGATCTTATCTAAAAATGTTTGTAAAGCCTATAGTTGTAAAGAAACAAGAACTGCCTGGAATAGCGGCACACACCTTTAATCCCAGCACCCAGGAGACAGAGGAAGGTGGACATCTGTGAAATCAAGGCCAGACTGGTCTACATTCATAGGCCAGCTTGGGCTAGAGAAAGACCCTGTCTTAAAAGGACCAAAACCAACCAAACAAAGAGATAAAATAAAATTTAAAAGAAACTTGGAGGAAGAACTTTGGATATCTATGCTTTTTTATAATAATAGTTTTACCATTATAACTAATTTTGAAGAACAGCAAGCCCTGTTTGACTACCCACTTCCACCTTTGTGTTCCTGCTGTTTTGAAGTAATCAAATGCTGTGCATAGTATTCTACCTGAGCTGCAACCTGTTATAGACTTGAACTTCTAAGTTGAAAGCAAGAGTCCCTGAATACAACAAACAAACAAACAAACAAATAAATACAAAATGGCAAAGGTCTAAAATACCATTGGTGATGTTTTGAGGAGAACTCCTGCTTTCAGCTTCCAGGAGTTAATATTTTTTGTTTTAATTTGATAATTGGAAATGGTTGATTTATATTGGGTTTAAGCTTAGAGCTTTCATGTTTACTGTAATTTAGCCTTAAAACAATTTTTACTTAATAACCAGTGCTTTTGGTAATGTTGTTGGCAACAAACCAGCAACTATTTAGAAGTGTTACAAGACTTCATTATTTAAGTATTGGGAAGTTCATTCAGATTCGACTCTAAAAACATCTGTACTTGTTAAAAGATAAAGCAAGGATCTGGATAGAGGAATAATCTGCAGTTATTTAACTTAAGCCTGCTTTGCAAAATCTGGGTAAGGACATTGCTTTTGGAAAATTGTCTGAACGAATATGGATTTGAAATTTTTTAAACTGAATAATTTGTGCTGTCCCAGAAAAAACAATCTTAAAAAAAAACAAGAACCAAAAAAATCCTTGTATCCCCTAACAGGAGAATATTCACATAGCAGGATGCAGCTCAGGAGTAAAAAAGGGAGAGATTTTTGATAGCTGCAGTGCCAGGATGAAGCACCAGAACTGCTGAAGAAAAGAAAACAGACCCAAAGCCAACACAATGTGAGTCCCTCTAAGTGGAATTCTGGAGTTGACCAAATTAATCTAGAGTGATAAAAATCAAACGAGGGTGCTTCTGCGGGAAGGTGTTTTTTTGGAGTGACAAAAGTGTTCTATTTTGGTGTTATCACATACATACTGTTAGGTATTTATTGTGAATTCAATTACACACATAAGTTTTGTGGATTTTGCTGTTTAAATTATACCTCACATTTTCCATTTAAAGCAGGAATGAGATATTTCTCAACTTTGATATCATTTTGAGTGTATTTAAAATAACTAAAAAAATCTTTTAAAATGTTTTGATTGAAGCTTGGACAATTTGAAAGTCTATTCAGTTATAAATTTTGAATTTCGGTACCAATGTAGTAAATATTTATGAGAAGCAAATACTATTTTATAAGAAATTTAGGATCATGTTTAGTAAACTGCTTATCTCACAGACAGAATCAAACACATATGTTAGGTTTAAGAATAAATGCATGGCAGTGTTTAAAAAATATAACTGATTTTTTATTATTTGTTCTACCAAAGAAGGTGGTAGCTTTGTCTCTAACTCCATTTCACCTCTGCTTACGTCTCCCCTATGTGTGAAGACCCAGTTCTCTAACTCAGTGACTCGTAAACTTTAGTGGGTATCAGAATCATCTACAAGGCTTCCTGAGGCACAGGTGGTTGAGACTCACTCCCAGAATTTCTGAACCTGTCAAGTCTGTAGGGGACCTGCAATTTGCATGTTTCATTTACATGTCCCCAAATGTTTGCAGTGGTGATGCTGTTGATTTAAGACAACACTCTGAGGCCTTCCATTTCAAAAATGTCTTCATTTTTCAGGTCAAAGATCTATACTTTAGAAGTGGAAGTAGAGATACAGGAGACAGAGTAAGTCTCTCTCTCTCTCCCATATATATATATTTCCTTTCCCAAGAAACTTTCCAACTTGTAGGAGTCTTTCTGACTTCCTAACCACCTTTTGGTCAGTCCTGAGCTCACTACACATATTACTGATAATGGCTAACTGGCATTTGCTCCTCGGTGTGCTTGCTAAGTTGTCAGCAAACATACATCTAGGTGCCTTTTATTCAGAAAGATCCTATTTCTATCAAGGGTAGGACCCTTGACTTAGATACCTACGTTCCCCTCATACCTACCATTGTATAGCTAGTAGGTGATAGGTAAATGATAAGGGGCCTAATGTTTGTACAAGTCTTCTAAACATGTTCAAATACTAAAAACACACTGAAAATAATTTCCCATTATGGAGAATTACCTGTCGTTGGGACAGTGACTTGGCAATGTCCAGTCATGGTGTGGATTGATAAGGAAACCCCAGGACAGGAAGACTGAGCTTGGTGTCAGAGTGCCAACCACCAACTGGAGAGGTTTGCGAGGACGAGATTTACCTACAGAGGCAGCACACAGGTTAACATTGGAAACATTTCATGCTTTTGATGGTTTAAATAAAATAAGTCCATAGCGATGACTTGTTAGGATGAGAAAAAGTATACCTTTGATTTTCGTATAGTCTACAAACATCAATTTTTGTCCATGAATTTAAACATGAGTCAAATAAACTTTTATTGAACTTATGAAGGTATGATATATTTGTGTGTGTATGCATGCATGTGTTCATGTTCATACATACATATATACCATATGAAACTCTACCTAGTTTTAATTTTAATAAACACACATATACATACTTATATGTTTGTGGGCCTATACACAGACCACTGTATTTATTTCATAAATGAAATAAAAACATGCTTATTTTTTTTTCTTGGGACTGGAAATTAGCATAAACTATCCTCTGAGAACAAAGTAATGTATTATTTAAGTTGTAGGTTATAGTCTTTTTTCTTTTATATTTGTTCTTAGACCATTTCATGCAAACATAGTGCATTCTATTTATTCTCACCCCACCCTCTCTTTTCTCCTTGCCCATTTCCCACATATATCTCTTTTTCTTTTGTTTTTCAATCCACTGAGTTTAACCAGGGCTGTCTGTACAACCATGGGTTTAGAACTATCCATTGGAATATGATGGACTTATTAGCGGGTACACAGCTGAAGAAAATGTCTGTCCCTTCCCAGAATCCATCAGCAGCCCCTAGTTCAGCAGGGTGGGTAGATCCACACAGACCCCTCCCAGTCTAAGACTGACTGTTAACAGAGCCAGTCTTGTGCAGGCCCACTGCAGGCAGCCACTGCCATAAGATCATGATGGCATGGTCTATGTCATGCCCATGCCCAGAAGATGGCATTTCACAACTCATCTCCCTATCTTCTGGCCTTATGTGCTTTTCACTCCCTCTTTCACACTGTTCCCTGAACCTCAGAAGGGAACCATTCCTTACTCTCAGGAAGTGGTCTCCACATTCTATACTGTTCATTACAAAGGGAACATTTGCTGATTAAGAGCAAAAGCAGCATTTGTCTATGGGTATAAGCTTAAGTATTTAGAAGGCAGTTTGGGGCTGTGTCTTTTTAAAACCTATCTGGAAGTTCCTTGATATGCACTGTACTAGGCATAGGTTTACAGTGAGCATCTAAATAGAAAAGGCAAACACATTTTTGATGAGTGGTGAGGTGGGAGTAATAGAGGTAGTGCAGTTGTTTTGATTGGCCTAATTGGATTTAGGCAATACCACAAGTTATGCTGATGAACCACTACAGATTCTTTTCAAGCACATAGGGCCAGGCATTTGAATTTTCCAACTTATTTGAAAGTAAAGGAGCGAGGAAACAGAAAAAAGGAAGAATCTCAACCACTAGCTCAACTGGGATAAATAAAATTTTAAAAATTAAAAGAAGCTTCATAAAGCTGGATAAGTATAACAAATACACACTTTCTATCCCCACTGAGTTCCCTGCTTTATTCATGAGACTATGCATGTTTTATTTGTTATAGGAATAACTTATGCCACCTCAATCTAATGGGATGAGAATAAAACAGCACAGTGGCCTGTGACGTTCATAAAGGGTAATAAGAAAGGAGCCCTTAAGCAATGGTATTGGTGACTGTCTGTATCAAATGCTCTTGAAAACCACACTGCACATTTCTTCTAGTTCTGTAATGTATTACACTGGTAAGAAACCTTCTGTGTCCCCCAGCAGTCCAAGTGCTAAAGGCTTAGTCGTCAGTTCATGTTGTGATTCTAAATTAATGCAATCTTTAAAAGGTGGGATGAAGTGGGCGGGGTTGAGGTCATTGGGAGTGTATCTCCAAAGGGGATTCTGAGACCTTAGTCTCATCCTCCTTTTCTCTTTGTGCATTCTGGCCATGAAGAGAGCAGTTTGCTTCAGTGTGCCTTCCCGCCATGAAGTGCTGCCATAGCCCTAAAGAATGAGGTCAAGTAATTATGGAATGGCACCTCTAAAACTATGGGGCACAATAAACCTTTTCTTTTTATGAATTGATTATCTTAGGCACTGGATATAGTAACCAAAAGCTGTATGGTTACCCTACTATATGATAGCACACTAGAACTAGGATAGTTGGTTTCTCAATGATGTCTAAAATAAGATGGTTATCATTTACTTAGTCCCAAACATACATGTTCCCTTCTCTGAAAATTTTTTCAGATCTACCTACATGCTGGTGATTTGATTGGTCGACATTTGCCCTCCAAGGAGGAGAGGTGAGAACCTTGATTGAAGGTTGAGAGCACATGTAGTTTGGAAACAAATACTGGGATGATCATGATAATTGTCTTCCTGTTTCTAAGTTGAGTTTTACTAACATGATACAACAGTATTATTTTACAGATGAAAAACAAAGGCCAGGAAAGTTTCAAGAGTATCCAAAGTCACGCAGAAAGCAAGGTCAAAATGCAAACTCTGTCAATCATTTTCTAGTTTTCTTTTTACTGCATCATTGGCTTAATTTATGACTTATGAAGAGAGGAAATTTCACTTAGATAATGAAAGACATGTATTTCCTTCCCTGAGAGGAACCTAAAGTCGTATACGACCACCAAACAATTATTTCACTAACTTTGAGATCTTAATATGAAAGAGATTAAGTAATTAGAATTTATGTAGTGGATACAAATGTAAAAGGAATGGATGCTATGCCACAAGTCATCTCTCCCAAATACAGATTACAAAACAAAAATTCTACCAGCTGCCTGAAAGGAAAGGTGGAGTTTCCCATCCTGACAGGATGAAACAATTTCCTGAGATCCTCACAATGGAGTGAGAAGTAATCTAAGGGCAGATTAAAGACCTGGAGAGGAAATGAAGGGATGAAGTCCTGCTCAGGTGTGATCATTAATCACGCTCCTGATTATAAGTTTTTATTTGTATGATCATATTTACATCAACAGTTCATGAATATAGACATGAAACCAGATTCTAAGGCACCACACTCATGCTTGACTTTATTATTCAAGGTTTCAAAATACTGCCCTGAAATACTGAAATTTCTTTTTTTGCTTTGAAATAATATAAGCAATCAGAAGGGGAAAATGATATTTTATTTCTCAAAGTGCTTGAGCATTCAGTGATGCTTGGAAAAGCAAATGGAATTCACAAAAAAAGGAGGGGAGGGAATTGTGGCATCTCCTTTCCGGTTACCAGCCTTGTGCTCATTGGTATATTAGGAGAACCACCTCAGAGTGGCCAAGCCCCTTTACTCCCTCTGGCTGAAGTGCCAGATTCTTCTCCCCATTTTACCCCTCTAGGTAAACAGAGTAGGCAAACACACAGAACCTTTTCTGTGTGGCATTTGGGGTTCCTTAAAGGATAAGCATGATTAGGAAATGATTACTTGGAGAAGACTTTCCACTAAAAGAAGTAAAGCAAGACTCTGTGGTCAATGACATCTGCAATGAGGAAGATGCTGTATCAGGTGACAAAGGTGATCTGCAGCCTTTAGACATTTTCCTTTGGAGCAATGTGCTGTTCATTGGGTGAGAGTCTTAAAGAGTAGACATTGCAAGCTTTTAATCTGTCTTTTCTTTTCCTGTGTCTGTGCTAAGGATCACGGTTCAAGGGTGCTGTTCAACATTATGGAGAAGTCAAGGCAGCAGGAGCTTAAAATAGCTGGTCATGGCACATCTACAATTAGGAAACAGAGAGCAATGAATGCATGTGCTCACCTAGCTTTTTCCTTTTTATGGTCCAGGACTCAAGCACAGGGAATAGTGCTGCCCACCTTTAATGTAGGTCTTCCTACCTCAGTTAACCCAGTCAGCATAATCCCCTACAAGCATTCCCAGAGACTAACTGATCCTTCATAGTTGTGCCTGGAAGCTTGTTTCCCAGGGGATTCCAGTTGGGTTGACAGTTAACACTCTCCTGGTCCTGTAGAAAAGTTCCTGCTCTATATTCATATGTGTATTATCCATTTTCTACTTCTAGTCTTCCTGATCTTAAAGATATTTAGAAGGGAAAGATAAAGCGTAAATAAAACCTAAGTTCCAATCTCTTTTGAAATGTAAATGTTCTCCTTAAATAAGGGTTAGACACAAAACTTTTTTCTTAAAATCTGAAAGGCCAACAGTGGGCAAAAGTTCACACCTTGCATAACAGAAACACACTAACAGAACTAGCCCTACATGACCACAGGCTAAGAGCAGTCATTAACTCATTTAATCCTCTCAATAACCCTACCAGCAGTAGAACCAAGGTGAAGAGGTTCCAAAATTGTCAGTTTTTGTTTAAACAATGACAAGAAGTGACAGTGCCAACTTATGCACTCAAGCAGTCTCTGAGGCCAGCTTCTGTGGCTCCTCTAACAGAGTAAGCTGTAGGCTGAGGGCCGATATCCACCTGCATCTACATTCCTAAAACATTCCCAAGGCAGTGAAGCCTGAGTATCTAGGAAAAGGTGAAGCGGCTTGGGTGAAGTTACTAAGAGAAAAGCCAGTGAAAACTGTTATACCTGAACACGACTTCTTTTGACTTGGAGGGGGAGCAGGTCGCACAACTATCAGATACTTCGGCTCTGCATCTGGAAACAATAACACGGAATTTCAGTAAAACCCTGTCAGAATCAACATGAGGCAGCATACACATGTCCTGAATGAACATCTCCTGATACTAGTTTCTCTGTTATAACCTCAGCACTAGTGAATTTGAGTATCTAGGAACTGGAGAAGTCAATAGTTCCTATAAAGCCCATGAGGTTTTAAAAATGAAAATTAGATCCATCTTTTCAAAGCCAGAAAGAGACATAAAGAACATACTACACAGACTTGATGCCATATCTTCATTTATGTTTTTCTCCATAAGGTTTTTTATTTAAACCAGATCATGTCCATTTTGTTAGCTTGTTCCTCATGAGGGGGTGGGGGGGCTAGTATTCAGGGATCTGAGGAGGATGCCTGGTATTCAGGAATCTGAGAAGAAAAGTCATACTTGGCATAATGCATGTGAGTTTTACCTATTACCTGAAATCACTCATTCTCATGGGAGCATGATCATTTTGTAATGCCCTACCTAATTTTTATTCTGTTTATAGAACTTCTCCTACTGTTTTCATTACCAACCAGTCATTTAAATTTTTTTATTTTTATTTTATGTGTATGAGTATTTTGCGTGTATGTAGGCAAGTGCACCCATGTCATGCAAAGCCTGTGGAAGCAGAAGAGGGTGTCAAATCCCCTGGAACTAGAGTTACAGATGGGTATTAGTTGCCATGTGGGTGCTGGAAATTGAACCTAGGTCCTCTAGAAGAGCAGTCTGTGCTCTTAACCACCAAACCACCTCTCCAACCCCTCAACTAGTTATTTTTATATTTATATTTACCTCAATTTGTAATAGGAGGTCACTGAGACAGTCAGTCTCACAGCATGCAACATATGCAGTCACACCCTTCACAGGGAACCCATGTTCAGTTTTAAGCCCTGATAATACCATCCTGAAATTCTGTTTTTAAAATATAGACTTGTGGTGTGTGTGTGGGGGTGGGGTGTACGCATACCATGGCACATACATAGAGGTCAGAGGACAACTTGTGGGAGTCAGTTCTCTCCTTCCACCATGTGGGTTCTGGGGATCAAACTCAGGTCCACAGGCTTGGCAGCAAGTGTCTTTACCCACTGAGTCATCCCACCAACCCACTGATATTTTTAATACTTTGATCTTTGAACTTGCATTTTATGAGAAGTCTGGCAGGACAATGGAGAGTGCATGTAAGCAGTGGAGCTGGGAACAACATGCTCGTCCATGGGTTTTCAAGCTCTAGATTCAGTGAGAGACTTTGTCTCAAAAATAAGGGGTAGAAAAGAATACCTGAAGTAGATCTCTGGCTTCTACACATGCACATACAGGCCAGTACGCCTGCACACACATGTGGGCATACCATATGCAGAGAGAGCTGGAGAGAGCAAGAGAGAGAGAGAGGAGAGAGAGAGAGAGAGAGAGAGAGAGAGAGAGAGAGAGAGAGACATACTGTATCTTTGGCTAAATAAGAGGGCATGGAGGGATTCACTGAGAACTCTGACATATCACATTGTCCACTCAGCCAGAACCTGCTTCCAGTGAGGAAGAAGGTGATGATGCTTAAAGAAACACAAACCACCAAGAACTCCTCTCATACCCTTTTTGCTGCATCGGCAAACATGGAAGCAAAGAGAAAAATAGAACAAGTTCTTTTTAGTTCTTCATTCAATGTAAGTTAAAAAGAATAGTCATAGAATATGTCTGTGTCAGAATGAAATAAAATGCTGGTTCAGTTTTGTGCAGCTCTTCTACATTTCTGCTAAGAAACTCATATGCACATAGGAATTGCAGAGTGCTGGCTGTGCACTTTCAGCAATTCTGCTGAGGAGTTAAAGGCTTCACATGCACACTGCAAATGAGCACTGTGTACTATCACAGTGAAAGGCAAACTTAGTGCTAATAATTCTGTTTTTAGTTTTTCTTTATTTAAAGTGGCATTACTTAGCAAACATATAACAATACATGACAAGTTAACAGTAGAGATCGTGGAAGTAAAAGATTTATTTTCCCTATCTTTAATGAGAATTTTTCTGCTTTTTGGCCAAGGGCCACAGAAGTTAGTTTTGTTAGCCCTAGAAATTAAATAAGTATCTTAATCTTGCCTTCAAGATGTCCTTTTAATACGTTTCAATAATTTACTTATAGAAAGCAAAGGTAAATCTTGGGCTTTACTAAATTGCTCATTGCAGTAGAGAGTTCCTTAGAGCTAACTTTTAATTATTTAATAGAGTCACTTATTACAGTTTAGTGGGTTTTAAAAAAGGACTTGAGTGAGCTGGAGAGATGACTCAGTGGTTATGAGCACTGACTGTTCTTGCAGAAGACCTGAGTTCGAATCCCAGCACCCACCTGGTGGCTACCAATCATCTATAACTCCAGTTCCAGGGGATCTGATGCCCTCTTCTGTCCTCTGTGGACACTGCATGACATGGGTGCACTTACACACATGCAGGCAATACACTCATACGCACGAAATAAAAATAAATTTTCAAAAAGAACTTGAAATACTAAAACGGCATAGAAGTCAAAGATAGTGCCATGATCCTAGCCACAAAATCATATAAAATTTTTAAAATAAGTTTTCGTTATGTTCATAGTCATTTTGCATAAAGCATAGGCTGTTACAGTTTATCACAAATTGGAACAGCAGTTGGGACCTGAGTGCATGTATTGGCTCCCTCTGCTCATTAAATCCTTCCAAGTTGGAATTTTTCAGCAAGCTTTGTGCTCTGTTGGGAATACAGACATGGTAAGATAAAACAACCAAAAAATAAGATTTCTATTTCTGTTCTGCTCTATGAAATTCTTTGTGATTTGTAGCAGCCCAGAAATACATACATTGTAGCTATATCTGAAATTCTGCCCAAATCGATTATCTTTAAAGACTACAATAATTAAAATGTCAAGTTAAGAAAGTTTGTGTAGGATACTTTAAATTTTTAATTCTGATAGTTAATCTTACATAATGACATAAATTTAATTTGCTTAACAAATAAGCCCTAGAGTAAAGAGTATGAGAGCTACCATTTAAGGAAATCTAATATTAAAGTCATTTACACATGCTTAAATGTTACTTTTTTTTAGTCAAGGAAATAATCCCACCATGATTACTCTATTTAAATCCTAACTCTTACATAATGAATCTGCTTTTGGTAGAAGACAATAGTCTTAGAAATTTCACTATTCAGAATGTCATCACAGTGGTATTTATTTATGTCAAAGTTTCTACCATGCAGATGCCCACAGAAACAGGAGATAAGCCAGGTTGATCTTCCAAAACATCATGCAGAGGCCCTAAACACACACTCTTTCACGTATTCGTTCATTCCTTTCTCTCCCTCCCTCCCTCCCTCCCTCCCTCTCTTCCATCATTTTAACAACTTGGTTCCATGTTGAAGTACATTTCTGGATTTATGAGTATGGGATTAAATCCTGCTTGGCTGTTAGCAGTACAAGGAGAGCATTTAACCTCTGTGTACTTTAGCTTCTTCACTGACAAAGCGGAGAAAAATCAGAGTCCCTAGTTTCATAGAGTTCTTCATGATGATTCAATTTATTTGTAATTGGACCAGTTATATGTTAGTTACTAATTTGTATTTTACTAATTATATGTTAGTTACTAATTTGTATTTTACTAATTATGCGGAAGCAATATGATGAATTTTCACAGAAGCGTATGTGTTCTACAGGATTAAAGAACAGATTACAAGGGAGGAAAATGATAAAAAATGAAAACAAGCACCACAAGTTTCAAAGTACAAACATTTCCTAGAGAAAATTATACACCAAACCCATTCATAAATATCAATGCAAAAAAATCTTTAAACCATGTTGTCAAACAGAGCTACACAGTTCATCAGTAAATTATGATCAAATGTAGATTAGTACAGTCATCCAACATCAGGTAAAGTTTTAGTCATATTTCCATAGGCCCTGGAAACACAATTGACAAAATGCAAAACTAATTCTTAATGAATGATAGTTTAAATAGATGTTTTCTTAATATCTTAATTTCTGTATATTGTAATAGCTGAGTTTTTATCAAATGTAATCCTTGCTTACTATATAGGCATCTCTATTGAATTACCCTGATTTCATCAGAACATTTCACTCTAATTTTTCACCTCTTAGTCTTTAAAAATATTTGTACAGAGGCAGGCATATATCTGTGAGTTCAAGGCCAGCCTGGTCTACATAGTGAGTTCCAGGACATCTGGGGCTACAGGGAGGCCCTGTCTCAAAAAGACCAAAAAAATATTTTTGCTGATTCTAGAATTTCATACTCTGTATTTTGTAGCCCCATCCATATTTAGCCCCCTCCCTTCTCCCCTCCACCACCACCCTGGACTTCATATCCTCTGTTATTATTTTACTCATTTTAAAGGTTTATTGAGTCTAATCTGTGTTTCCTAAATGCTCTTAAGTCTGGATCAACCTATCAAGTGTCACACCAATAAAGAAAACTAACTTTCCCTATCCCAGAATCTATCAATTGCCAATAGATTCTCTGTTCGGGCTGGGGCTTCCTGCCTATCTCTACCATCCACGCTGGGGTCTGGTTTGGTTTTGCAAAAGTCTTGTGCATGCTATCATAAGTGAATAGATTACACATGAAGCTACCCTGTGGTATCCAGAAAACACAGTTTCCTTGTGTTTATCTACCACCTCTGACTCTTAAAATCTTTCTGCTCCCTCTTCTGCAATAATCCCCAAGCCCTGGGAAAAGAGGGCGTGTCCCACTTAGGGTTGAGCATTCTTCAGCCTCTTATTCACTGCATGTTGACCATTGGTGGGTCTCTGTGTTAATCACCATCTGTTACAAGAACTTTCTCTGGTAACAGCTGAGCCATTCACTAATCTGTGAGTATACCAACAAGTCATTATGAGTCAGTTTAATACTATGTTTATTAATCAGAATAACAATAGTTTCTCCCCTACAGCCTATAACCTATCTAGCCACAGGCTTTTGACCCTGATAACAGTAAAATCCAATTAGAAGATGGCTGG